CCTCAGAGAAGCGTTAACCACTTCCAAGATCCAGGTTCCAATCCCGTGCTTGGAATCATTTATTAACAAAGACGGGCAAGGGTCCAATAGGCAAGTGGTGGGACGTACTCGCCCAAGCACCTTGTCCACGTCATCGGGCCGCAGTAACTGAAATTCATCCAATAAATCTGGACCAGACGGCAGCGTTGGTGTCTCCTTTGAAACCTCTGAATCAATAGTGGTGTCCAGCTCGTGACAAATCTGAGCGATTTTCTCCCTGAAATGCCTGGCAAAGTCGTCACAGCGGGCCTTTGAGGGTGGAATCAGGTCTTCCTTTGGACCTGGACGAACCAGGCCTTGCACCACTCGAAAGAGCTCTGCCGGACGGCATTGTGAGGAGGCAATGGAAGCGGAAAAGAATCTCTTTTTTGCCACCCTCACCGCCACAGCATAGGCCCGATAGTGGGCTCTTAAGTGTGTTCGGTCAGATTCATCTCGTGATTTCCTCCACCTACACTCTAGTCGTCTCCCAACCTGCTTCATCGCCCTCAATTCAGGAGTATACCAAGGGGAAGAGCGGGCTCTGCCCGGTGGGAGAGGACGCTTAGGAGCGATCGTGTTTACAGCCCTGGTCATTTCCCCATTCCACAGTTTGACCAGAGCCTCGACAGGAGCACCCGTCTTGTCAGCCGGAAACTCCCCCAGGGCCTTCAGGAATCCTTCCGGATCCATCCAGCTCCGGGGGCGGACCCACATAATCGGGTCCGCACCCTTACAGAGGGAGAAGTCGCTCTCGAGCACAAACTTCACCAGGAAGTGATCTGACCATGACAGGGGAGTCAAGCATAAATTACTCACCCTCAGACCACCCTCTTCCTGCCCCGTCGAGAAAACCAGGTCCAGAGTGTGTCCCCGTTCATGGGTCGGGCCGGTGACATGTTGAGACAGCCCCATGGCCGTCATGGAGGCCATGAAGTCCTGAGCCGCCCCGGTCAGACTAGCCTCGGCATGGAGATTGAAGTCCCCCAGGACCAACATCCTGGGAGTCCTCAACACCAGGTCCGAGACAGTCTCCGTCAGCTCAGGCAGGGAGACTGTTGGGCAGAAGGGTGCACGGTACACCAACAGAATCCCCAGTCTGTCTCGGTCGCCCAACACCAAGTAGAGACACTCCAGCCCTGGTCTCGAAGGGACAGGAAGTCCCATGAGATAGATGGAGGCTCGGTAAACCAAAGCGACCCCCCCTCCCCTCCCCTCCGGCCGTGAGCAGTGCTGGACCAGATACCCAGGCGGGCACACTTGGGAGAGGGCAACATCCCCCCCTCTCCCGCCCAGGTCTCCGTTATGCAGACCAGGTCGGCCCCCTCATCCACAATCAGGTCCTGGATGAGGGCAGATTTGTTATTGACCGACCTGGCATTAAGCAACAGCACCGTCAGGCCGGAGGGCCGACTGACGAGACTCCCTGGCACCCTCTGGCTGGGAGCAAAACCAGAAGTAGGGACAGGTGTCAGCCATCTGTCCCTCCTTCTTCTATGCGGACACGTTAAGCTCCCACCGCTGTTACGTCCCTTGCCCATAACCACCTCAATGGCGGGACCCGTGCGCTCCCCAGGAAACATAAGCGGCAGCATGGCCAGGGACGACTCCATAAAACGATTTAAAATACTACTACTAAAAAAAAACAAACCCTCACTCACAGCCCAGCAGGAGGGCCTACTATCGCCAAGCGAAAGCCCCTGGCCAGCCCCGCCCCCCGCTCGGCCACCCGAACGGCGGCGGCTGCCCTTTGGCTGACGCCCTTCGGCCGCCGGCCCAAGGCCGCCGGCGCTTTCTAGCCGCCGGCCCTGCGTCGCCCCGCCTCGTCCGGAGCACGCCTGCCACACGTGCTGGGGCGTGGCGGAGCAGCCAAGTGGGCGGTGGATGGCGGTGCGGCGCGGTCTTACACAGTGAGGAGGCGGCCCTCCTCCGGCGTAGGCTGCCGGGCACAGTTGTTGCTGCTGTTGGCGCGCTCCTCCTGCGGGCTTTCTAGCCGCCGGCCCTGCGTCGCCCCGCCTTGTCCGGAGCACGCCTGCCACACGTGCTGGGGCGTGGCGGAGCAGCCAAGTGGGCGGTGGATGGCGGCGCGGCGCGATCTTACGCGGCGAGGCAGCGGCTCCCCTCCGGCGCGGCGCGGTCTTACACTTACAGTAATCAAAGGGACAGTGGAAACTGGCTTTAGCCGCCATGAAAGTTGCAAATGTGCAGGGAGTAAGAACATGGCAAGCCTGTGTGAATCTCGAGCAGGTAAGAAATAGACATGGGAAATGTCTGGTCCTTGACAGAAGAAAGGATTCTTTCTCCAGTATGGGAGGGGGTGCATACATTGATGTATCGATGCATTAGATGTGTATTAGGTGACCTAACTGTTTACCTAGGGTATAAAACGCATGTACTGGGGTGCAACTTTTGAGACACTGCTTTGGGCTGAATGTTCCCTTTTGTCTCCCTTTATTCTATAGTGCACTAGAATAAAGCTGATTTTGGCCCTAAGTCTTGTCTCAGGCTCTGTTTGGCTCGGGTCTGGGGTCCACCCAGGTTTGCCCCAGCTGTTGACTGGCTCAGTCCGGTAACAGTTTTGGCGCCCAACGTGGGGCACCGAGTGGACTAAAGGCGAATTTTGCCTCAAAATTCTTAAGCCTTTTCCTCAAAGAACCTCTTTTCGGACGGGTGGACAACCGGCATTAGAGAGCTTTCCCTCAGCATTTGGGCTGAGGCAAATTTGGCCAGAAACCTCCACCGGCCGTGAGCAGGGCTTGAGGAAAGGGTGGCTGAGAGGAAAACAAGAGTGAGAGAGCTAACTCCGACGATAAGACAAGGAGCTCCCAGGTAAGAAAAAGCCTCTGGTAAAAAGAGTTAACTGCTCGGGGGAAGACCCGGTTCAAAAGAAGGGGGGGGGGAGAGTTAACTGCTTGGGGGAAGACCCAGTTCAAAAAGAGGGAAAAGAAAAGGGCCTCCAGTTAGAGTTCAGTGCTGTTAAGAGGCCAGCAAGTTGCCCATCCCTGTCTGACAGCCGGTGACTCCCAAGTAGAGTTGAAAAGGGCCTCCGGTTAGAGTCCGGTGCTGTTAAGAGGCCAGCAAGCTGCCCTCCCCTGTCTGACGGCTGGTGACTCCCGAGTAGAGTTGAACTCTATGGGAATAGGCGAGTTCGAGTAGAATCAGGGGGAGCTCCTTGGGCGGAAGGGGGGAGTTTTGGAAACTCTTTTTGGTATATTACCCTCGTTTGAGTCCGGGGTGAACGGATCTCGCATAAGTGCGTGAGCACTTCTGACCAGGGACGCCCGGCAGAATTGACAGAAGGAAAATCAGAGAGGTCTGCTGAAATCCTTCTAAAGGTATTCTGGGGAACGCTCAGCGCGCATCATGGGACAGGGTAAGTCAACCCAAACAAGTACACCCTTGAGTTGCATTCCAGATAACTGGGATCGGTTTAAAGGTGATTATATTTCAAAGAGGAAATTACAGGAATATTGCAGTTCTGTTTGGCCCCAATGTAAATTGGATGGGGGAGTAAGGTGGCCACTGGAGGGGTCGGCTGATTTCCAAATCATTTTGCAGCTGCAGCTTTTCTTCCAACGAGCTGGCAGGTGGACCGAGCATGCTCATGCACAAGCGTTTGTAACCCTTAGAGACAGCCCAGATTTGCTGGAAAAATATGGGCTGACAGCTACTGGAATCCCTGTCCCTAATCCACTAACTGCCCCTCCCGCACCAGGTGAATATTCTCGGCCAAATCCTTCTGTCCCTGTATTGGACACGGGCGTTAAGGCAAACAGGAGGGATGGCATGGGACTTGTCCCCTCCACCCTTCCGAGAGCCAGTGAGGGGGGACCGTGCCAGAATAAAAATGCAGCAGAGCAGGATAAGGGACTGCAGTCGCCAAATCATGACAGCTGCGAACAGCCTCTGGGTTGTCTTTTGGGAAATGGGAAAAAGTTCAAAAGAGATTCCATCTCAAAGAAAAAGAAACTAAATGTCTACTGTAATTCTATTTGGCCCCAGCATCAATTGGACAGTGGGACAAAGTGGCCACCTGAAGGGTCTACTGATTTTCAGACTCTTTTCAGAACAGTTGCAACTTTACTATCAGCATACCTGTTAACAGTAGAGCTCCTGCACAAGCGTTTGTTACATTGACAGTCTGAAGGAAGAGAGAAAATGCACCATTCTGTATCCCTGCTCTGCTACTGAAATACCCTCCCAGGAGCCCCCAGAAGAGTTTGAGGCTCTCCAAAGCCCTGAACAGAAGTACTTCATGCGACTGCTGTGGAAATAGGTCCCTCTTGTCTCCGTAGTTGGTTCAGGTGGAGGCACAGTTGGTTCCTGAGGACTACATGGAGCGGGGGAGGAGCTTGCCAGTTTAGAAGATGGCTCCTTGAGAACGGAGCTCCTGTCTTGTTGAAATGTTTGTTGAGGCCTGCTTACACTTATGTTGGGTATGCCAAGATTTTGATACTATTTAAACCTTGTCTAGAGTATACTGATAATTATTACTGTGAATTAGCAAGATAAGAGGGGCAAAGACTGTTGAAATGAGGATATGAAAAGTGCAATTAACAGACTCAGATTTCTTTGTGGGTGTTACTGAAACTTTTCGGAGCAGCAAGATAGCAGAAGACTGTAAACAATAATATTATACGAAAAGTGTCCAAGTGTCTTTAAGATAAGAATGTGGATGGATAAGAATTAATTACTTTTGGAGGAAAATCAGCAGAGAGCCCCTCATTATTATTCTTTATTACTGTACCTATATTACTTAAGAAGGCATTGGGAATAAGTGGATTTTTTTCTATTTCTCTATTATACATTAGATATAGGCCTGTTACTAATAGTTTATATATGAACTTTATTGAAAAATTGAAAAGATCCTAGCTATCTGAAGTAGAAAAAAATGGTGTTTTCTACAATAATAATCTCTTCATGAAGTAGAACCCCATCTAGTGGATAAGGTGTATCACCACCTCTTTGCATATTTTCAGCTTTCCTCTGTCTGCTTTCTTGATCCGATCAGGGGTTAAAACGTGGCAGATAATTGACGGAATGAAGTTAATAATTCGGACTTGTTAGAAATGAAAAAAGTGACAATACAGTTATTAAATGATACGTTGAAGAAGGAGCTCTTGGAGGAGTTGGGAGCACTTAGAACAGACATGAAAGAGTTTTAAAAAGAGCTGGGAGTTCTGGAAAGCCAGATTAATATAAATTCTATAAGGATCTTTCACCAGGAGACTATGTCCAAGGAACTTCAAAAACATGTAATTCAATTACAGGATTCCCAAAGAAGAGCCAACATTAGAATTATGAATTTGCTGGAAGCACCTGGAGAGGCCTAACATAAAAAGATTCAAAGCTGGATAAGTGACATTTGTAAAGAACTTCAATTCTCTGAGTGGGTTCTTGATTGAGTTCATTGAGTGGGTCTAAAGAGATCTGGTGGCGCCCCTAGAGATGTCTTAGTGAGGGTTGTGAACTATCAAAAAAAGGAAAAGTTTATGCTTTTTTAAAGGCAAAATCCAAAGGATTTATCTATTGGAGGAGTGTCTGTTTTGAAAAATTACAATTTAGAAGGAAAATGAAAAGTGTGCTGGCATTGTTGAGAGAAAAATCTATTAATTATAGCTGGGGGTATTCTGTTTTTGTGTGAATTCAACTTAATCAGAAGTATTATCGAAAAGATTGTCTAGAAGGGTTTTAACATGGTTGAGAGATTATGGGTTTTTTATCACTTCAGGAATATGACAACCAGATGGATAAAATGTTGACAGAAGTAGGCGATCTAGAGCCGGAGACATCAGAGAGGGGGGATCTCAGGTCACTGAAGCAACTGCCAATAGGAGAGGAAAATACTACAGGGACTGGATCAAAACAGGAGAGCCCTAAATTACCAAGAAAAAGGAGGGGGAAGAAATAAATGAACTGATGTGAAGATGGTCCTTTGGGTTGTTTGGGTAAAACAAATACAAAACGGTTAATTAGAAATGATGGTTGGCCCCCATTCATAAGATTTAGGTGGACCAGGAGGAGAAAACTGTATTATTTTTGTTTTGGATCTAAGTGTTGTAAAAGGTAAAAAATATTTATTGTTACACATTTAGAGCTTAAGCTAAGTAGGATCCCTTATGAGCAAAGGCATGTAAATGTACTAGAACTAAATTGAGCTTTAATATATGAGGTAAGGTAGATGGGAAGGTGTGGGTACTTAAGTAATGGGTAAAAAACTAAGGGGCAGTAAGAAAAAACAGGAGAGCCCTAAACTGCCAAGAATAAGTTGGGGAAAGAAATAATGATGAACTGATGTGAAGGTGGTCCTTTGGGTTGTTTGGGTAAAACAAATACAAAATGGTTAATTAGAATTGATGGTTGGCCCCCAATGCTAGGAATTAGAGCTTGCATGGACCAGGAGGAGAAAATTGTACTATTTTAGCTTCAGACTTAAGTGTTGTAAATGGTAAAAAATATTCATTGTTACACATTCAGGGTTTAAGCTAAGTAGGATCCCTTATGTACAATGGAATTTACATGCACTAGAACTAAATAGAACTAAGGTGTGGGTAATATAGAGTGAGAAATGAAATGTTACTGTTACTAAGTGTAAAGGGTGAAAAACTGGAATAGCACAGGATCATTGAAGTCTCTTAAGGCCAAGAAGCCTGAGAATTAAAACATGTAAATGGTTGTTCTAAGAGTAATAATGTTTCTTACATCAAAAGTCCCAAAAAATACCAGAAGGGGTAAAATTGGGGGACAGTGGTAAAACCGTCACCTTCACAATAGTAATGGGCAGTAAGAAATATTTAAAATAGTGAGATCTCATAGCAATTTGGTATATGATGCAGTAAGTTTTAATATGGAAGTTTGTCTTTAGGGACAATCTATAGAATTTAAGGGTTAATCCCAATAGAGTAGGATATTGTAAATAAAGGGGCTATATATAAATTTATAATAAAGTTTGCAATATTAGGTAATTATACACAACAGGGAGGTGGTGAGTGGTCTATCTTTTCCCCTTTGGAGGGGGTTACGCTCTTTCTCCCCTCCCCCTTGTGCCTAAGGGCAGGAAGGCTGCAGGGGAATGGGGGTAATTCAAGGGGGAAGAAAGTTTGTCTATGTATCAGGGTTGAGCGGAAGTTGTGGGGTTATTGTTTGATTTATGTTTTCTATGTTATATGTATTGGCAATGTTAAATGTGGATCACAAGACTCGGGATTGAAGCTACAGTGTTGGGAAAACCAAAATGGTTAAACAAATTAATATATTAACATGGAATGTGAAAGGCCTAGGGACAAATTTAAAAAGGGGTAAAATACTGAATGTATTGAATAAGCGAACGAACAATGTGGTGTTTTTACAGGAAACTCCTCGGAAAAAGGATGGGTTAAATGAAATCAAAGGGAATTGGATGGATGTTTATGAAAAATGTTTTGGAACTTCTAAATCCAGAGGTGTAGCTATTATAATATCTAAGTGATGTGAATTTAAAGTTGAGAAGGTAGTTAAAGATCAAGAAGGAAGACACATTATAGTTCAGGGGCAAATGAAAGGAGAGAATTGTGCTTTAGGGAATATCTATGCTCCAAATGTTAACCAAGAACAATTTATGCAGAAGGTTTTAGCAGTATTGGAGGAAACTAGGAAAGAATTTGTGATTTTGGGAGGGGATTGTGATATGGTAATGGATAAAATGAATGATAAATCCTCTTGGAAACAAAGTGAAAAACAAAATAGATATACTAAACTATACAAGATGATAAATAGGACAGATTTGAAAGATGTCTGGAGAGAGCTAAAAGGGAATGAAAGAAGGTACTCTTCTTATTCAGAACCTCATAAATCCTATTCAAGAATATATTATTTATTTATATCTAAGGAGGTAATAACTAAAGTTAAGTATGTAGAAATGGGGGTCATTCAGATTTCAGATCATTAGCTAGAGTGCAAATGGAATTGGACTTTAAAGCAGATTATATGGAAGCCAAAAGATGGAGATTAGATACTAATATTTTCAGATATAAAAAGGTTATGGATAAGATGCAGAGAGACATAGAGGAGATCTGGAAAATAAATGAACAGGGAGAGGGGAAATTTAGTATGATATGGGACGCTATGAAGGAGGTATGAAGGGGCCTAGCAATTAAAGCTGGATAGAAAGTAAGGATGCAACAATCTAAGAGGATAAGTGAATTAGAAAATAACTTAAATGAATTAGAAAATTTTTTTATTGCAACTAGAAATGATTCAATTGGAAAAGAAATCCAGGCCAAAAAAGAAAAAAAAAAGAATGAGAAGGTATACATATGGAAAAGGTGCAGAGAAAATATATTTGAAAAGACAATTGTTTTGAGTATGGTAATAGAAATTCTAAATTATTAGCACAAGCCTCACAGATAAAGAAAAGGAAGGGTAATATTGGAGTGAAAGAGAATGGAGAAGGAATAAGATGTAGTAAGATGAAGGCGAAATTAAATGCGTTTCAAGAATTTTATTTTAAAAATGTATACAGCCACAGAGGTGGATACAAATAAGGTCATAGAATATGTGAAAAATAACTTGGAAAAGACTACTGATATACAAGACAAAGAAGAAATGGAAGGGGAAATTACTGATGATGAAATTGAAGCAGTAATAAATAAACTGAAAATTGGTAAAACCCCTGGGGTAGATGGGCTAGGCCCTGAATTTTATAAGTTTTTTTTGTAAATTAATGATACCCAAATGAAAATTTTGATGAATAAAATTTTAGAAGGTGAGGAGATCCCCCCATCATGGAAGGAATCTCTGAATGTTTTAATATTGAAGCCTGGAAAAGTTGCGGTAAATATGGACTCTTATAGACCAATCTCCCTGATAATTCAAGATGCAATTTTTTTTTGCAATCTTACCTAATAGATTGCACACCTTTATTGGAAAATATATTAATAAAGATCAAAATGGCTTCCTGAAAGATAGACAGATGGCAGATGTCTTGAGGAGAGTTCTGAATATTATACATCTAGCAAAGAAAAATAGCTTAAAAGCTGGTATTTTAGCATTAGACATTTTTAAGATGTTTGATTCAGTGGAATGGGATACATTAAAAATTGTGTTAGATAATATGTGATTTGGAGTTAAGTTTAAACACTATAAATAAATTATATAAAGATAACTCTACAAGAGTCCTGGTAAATGATGGAATCACAGATATAATATCTCTAGGCCGGGGAACACCTCAAGGATACCCCTTGCCTCCCATTTTATTTGTGATGGTAATGGAATTATTAGCTATTGTAATTAGGAAAGATGCGGAATTGAAAAGAATTGGGTATAAAGAGGAAGTTAAGGTAAATGTATTTGCTGATGATACCCTATTGACATTAGAAGACCCTATAAAATTATAGATAGACTTAAGCTGCACTTACAAGAATTTGAGGAAATAACTGGATGAAAAATTAATTGGGACAAATCTGCAATTATGTTAATTAATTATAGCAAAGAATATAAGGCCAAACTGAAAGACTTATTTGAAGGGAAAAGGAGGGACACAACAAAATATTTGGGAATTTATATTATATGGAATATATACAAAATGGCAAAATTGAATAAGGATTATCTTAAAAAACAAATAGAAGACTATATTAAGGAGTTTGGTAAGGCCAAACTATCTTGGTAGAATTGCGGTATGCAAAATGAAGGTTATTCCTAAAATTAATTTCCTTTTTTGGATGCTACCCATTAAGATTGCAGATTCTGATTTGAAAAGTTGGCAGAATATGATTAATTCCTTTTGTAATGGGAAAAAGCTAGAATTAATAAAAAATTATGGCATAAATCCCAAAAGGGAGGAGGAGTAGGCTTACCAAATATTAAAACATATTATTTAGCAAATCAAATAAGGTATATTTTAGATATAATGATCTATAAAGAGTTACTTTGGGGCAATGTTGAATTCAAAAAGGATAGAAATCATATGGAAAATATTTTATTTAGGGAGGATAATATTTTCAATTTAAAGAAAATAGAAACTCCATTTTTAAAGAATATGTAAGAACTGTAGAGCTATAGTAGGAAGATTTTAATCTCAGTAATTTCCTCATTAATTCCAGTAATTGCAATGAAGAGTTTTCCAGAGAATCTGAAAGGTACGTTACAGAGAGTACTAAGAGAAAAGAACATATTAAGACTGAAGGAGTTAAAAATTTTGGATAATAAAGACAAAATGGGTCAAATTTGTGCAGAATTGAAGGGTTCCGGTTGGAAGATGATTCAGTTACAAAATTGGCTGAAATGAGGAAAACACTTGGTGAAATAAGAAAATTAACTAAATTTGAAGAACTGGTAGAGAGTACAGAGAAGGAAGATAGTAGTAATAGGAAAGGAATTACAAGTTTAATATATAAAATGCTAATAGAAGGGCAGTATGGGCAATGTAGACTTTTGGAAGGTTTGCAAGATGATGTGAGTAAAGATATTAGTCAAGTAAACTGGTTGAAACTATGGAATAATAGAATTATAAAGAATATGTTGATCAGAGTAAAGGAGAATTGTTTTAAAGTAATTTGGGAGTGGTATAATATACCGGTAAGGTTAAACAGAATTAATTCTGAATTAATGCCTCTTTGTTGGAGGTGCGAAAAAGAACAAGGGACTTATTATCATATGTGGTGATTGTGCAAAATTAAACAGAAAGAATGGGCATGATATTTAAGGAAATTAGTGATATTATGGATAGAAAGATTTTGATGTTTCCGATTATTGCACTTTTGAATACTTTTTCGGATTTGCAATTAGACAGCAGAACAAGAATTGTTATTATGGTTACTGCCACCAGATTACTAATGGCTAAAAATTGGAAAGGTATAGATTTAATCAACATTCTTGACTGGTATAATGAAATGTGGAACTTAGCCGTTAATGATAAATGAACATGTGATTTGAAAATTAGGCGAGGGGAAAGGAAAATAAATTATTTTACAAGAATACTGAATGTCTTTTTACTATATGTACTAGAGAAACATAAAGGGAAGTATCCGGCAAAAGATTCACTGCATTTTTGAAGAGTCATGGCGTTTAGTGGTGATCTTTTGCAAGCTTTACTCCAGAGGGTGATGGGAGCACTATGTTGTTATGTATAGTTTTAGTTTATGACGTTCTGTATATTTGTAGCCTATGTTGTTATGGTTTTTTTAGTCTATGTATTATGTAACTTATGTTATTTGTATAATATTGTTATGTAGTAGTAGTTATTATTATTTTTATTTTAAAAAGGAGGACTAAATGGAGGAGCACCAGGCCCCATCTTTGTAGAATGAAGGGGATGTTGCTCTGCCTCCACAATCTGCATGTTTCTCTCCCAACAGAAGTAAGATTCTCCAGTACAGTGGACACCTCTTAATCCAAGGTCAGCATCACCAGTGGGGATGAAATATTCTCATCAATAAATAGCGCAGACAGCTTAAGCACAGTCAGCTTTGGTGCAGGTGGAGAGGGTAAGAAAAAAGCACTAGCTTTAGCACACATGCTTCTTTCACATGTTTTTTTCTACACTAGTGACCTCTAGCGGTGCTGAACCATTGGAGCCTCACAATAAAACGATGAAATGAAAACAGACTTGCTTAATGTACCACTGATTTTTCTAGAAAAACTTCAGCTGAATCTGTTCTATGGACAAGTACCTACTGCTGGAGTAGGCATCAGTGCACCCCAGACAGGAATGTAGCAGAGTTTGCACTCCTTCCAGCAAAATCCCCTGCTGGTTACTCAAAATGTTCTACCCGTACTCTATTTTTTCTTTTTCCCCCCTTTATTGTTTTATACACACACACCTACACAAACATGCGCACATTTAATATGTTTTTTATACTATGTATCCTTTCTTGGTTTTCTTTAATGTGCTTTGTGAACCACCCAGAGAGCTTTGGCTGTTGGGCAATATAGAAATTAATTAAATATTGGATGTGGAGTACTATTTAGGGTGTTGGACTGGGCCAGAGAGAGCCACGTTCATATCCCCACTCAGTCATGAAGCTCACTGGACAGCCTTGGGACTAGTTATTACTTCTGAGTCTAACCTACTTCACACGGGTGTTGGGAAGACAAAAGGAATCATGTAGGCACCCCTGAGATCCTGGACGAATGTTAAGCCAGATGTGATAACAATGGCTACTATTTCCATTGTTTCAGTGACCCCTCCACCCTACCATCTCTGAAGTTTAATGAGATGGTCTCTGTCATTAAGTCCCTCTTCCCTTTTCTTCCACATAGGGTATGTCCTGCTGAATGATCCTGAATATATAGAAACATCTTGGCCCATCTTTCCTACCTTCTGTCTCTCTTTGCCTCTTTTTTTCCTTTTTGTATTTCTATTCAATCTTTTTTCCTCCTGGACCCATTCTTTACCAGCACAGACTTTTTTCCTCTGCTAAAGAAAAACCATTCCCTTTTGGGAAACTTCCTGTCCCTTCTCCTTAGATATGGGCCTTATTTGTTCCTTTTCCAGTATAGTTTAAAATGCCAAGCCCTGCAATAGTACTTGAAGCAGCTCAAATTGGTCTGCTTTCTTCTTCTCCAGCCTTCAACTTGGCTTTCCACTTGTGGAAAAGGCTCTGCAGTTTTACAGCCTAAAACAAAGTAAGACAATGAAAAGCAAGGCTTACAGGACCCGTCTGCCTTGCCTGGCTAGACTGAGTTTAGCCCATTTCATTTGTGAGGCTTTATATGGACTTAGTACTTATTAAATGTTAAATATCATTGGCGTTGTCTTTTATGCTTACAGATGCTTAGAAAAGGAAGAATGGATCACACCAAGATTTCTTTTTAAATACAGTGAACCTGTATACACTTATGCCCACTTGCCTTCGCCATTGCCTTTGATGCTGTGCCCACAACAGAGTAATATGGCTTCTTCTGCCCCACCACTTGTCTCCTGCAGCCCCCTGACATGTGTGGTGGGAGCACCGGGGAGAGGAGGGAAATGGAAAGAGGAGGGAAATGGACGCAGAGACCAGGCGTGGCCACACCAGCCACACCTGCATAGCCAGCCAGCACACAGGACAATGCCAGTTTGGTGTTGGTTTGAGCACTGGAGTTTTCCTATTAGGGTTATTGTGGCTTTATTATTGTTATTTTACTGTTCTTGATATTGTTGCATATTTGATATTGATATTTGCTATTATTTTTGATACTGTATTTTTCATTTTGCTTAATTGTATTATGTATTATTTATCTTGGATTTTACTATATTGTTTTATTAGGTATTGAGATATTGAATTTGTATACTGCCCAGAGAACCCAAAGGGCTATGGGGTGGGATAGAAATATAAATTGAAATGAAAAACTAAATAAACTCATAAAAAAACATTTAAATGCAGTTAAGCAGCAGAGTAGAGTAAGATATACTTAAACTGGATGGGCAAATAAAAGAACATTTGGGCCTTATACTGAAAATAAAGAAATAAGGTGGGGGGTAACACAAAGAAGGACTTATTCTGCAGTGGCACCCCAACTTTGGAATGAGCTTTCTAGAAAGGTTTGCCTGATGCCTTCCTTATAGTCTTTTAGGCACCAGGCAAAACTCCTTTCTATTTTGACAGTATTTAAATTGTTAACTTGTTTAAGTAGCATTTTAACTGTGAGTATGTCATTATTATGGCACATCTTTATATTGGTTTTAATGTTTATTTGTAATTGCTGTTTTATATTGTATTTTAATCTCTATGTTATTTTGTATTTTATTGCTGCAACCTCCCCAGGGAGCTGGCTAATGGGGAGGGTTAGAAATTTAATAAATAATAACTATAAAAAGATTGCAATATAGAACCAGACTGTATAGAATATAGACTGTAATATGGAAATTCATGAGGGGAAGGTATTCCATAATTGTTGACTGCCACAGAAAGGCTCTGTCCCTTGGCACCAGATAGCATCTGTCTTCTAATATGGAGACATAGTCTGTATTCCCACATCATGCTAAGCCATGGTGGGTGGACTTCATGGGTGGTTACAGAATGGCTTAGTGTGATGTCCAAGATTGAAGCATTTGTCCAATCATGGTAGATAGTATTGTGCAAATAAGCCACCCTGAGAACCCATGGCTTGTTTTAGGGTTACTGAGGGCAGCTTGTTTTTAGAGTGGCTTAGTTCAACATCAAGGCCCAGCAGGATGATAGTTGTTGGAATAGCTAGAAAGCTGACCAGCAACACTACCTGCCTGCTTCTCACAGTCTCACTCATGCCATCACCATTCTTCCCTCATTTAATTAATCTACTTTGAAATGTCTATTTCAAACACACAATTCACAGAGTGAAGGACAGTGACAGGCGGCAGCAGTCAAGAGAAGGCACCATATGAGGAAATGTTTTATAGCAGGTAAGATAACTTGAGTGTCATTGGGGGTAGTTTGGGGTAGTTTTTCATTTATTGGGGGGAGGTCTTCCATAAGTGAACATAGCCACAAGATTGCTTGTCCTACCCAGGCACCCTCTTTCCTCCAATATTTGTTCAGTGAGCTGGTGGGATCCTGATACAGCAGTGGAAATGGGTGCATGGGGAAGCCTCTAGTGCACTCTCTTCAAGAATCACTGCAGTGGGGTGAAATTAAAGCCTCTTCCCAGTGACACAGTTTTCAGCAGTGTCCCTGCAATGGAAGGTTCCTTTAACTTCACTCCCTATCCAGCAATATTAATCAGTCTCTCTGGGTGATCTGCAATGTGTGTGAGAGCAGTGGAGGAAATGGAACAAATAGACATTAATGCAGTAGTGGCAAAAGAAAGATACTCCAGGGAAACAGAAGAATGATTCTCCCAGTTTTCCTTCAATCTCATGCACAAGTTTGCAGCAGCCCCTTTGTTTCTTTCTCTTTCCTACCTACCTCCACTTTCAAATGCAAGATCACTATCTTTACCTCCTACTTCCCGGACACATACCTTATATATTTCAAGAGCAATCCTTTACATTGAGAGAGGAAAAAATAAACACACAGTGGTATAATGGTATGAAAGTGACCAGTTTTAAAACAAAAGGTCATTTATCCCACTAGAGGCAAGGAAAAAAATCAAGGTTGGGTAGTATATGACTGGGCTCCTGAAATTCCTAAGGCTGAAAGAATGTGTTGGGAGAGCAAGGCAAGTTTTCATATACAAGACTTCTGGAAGTTTTGTCTGCTGAGAGGACCTTAAGCAACTCCTTCAGGATTTCAATGGGCTTGCACAGGAGAAATTAAGAACATAAGAAGGGCCCTGTTGGGTCAGACCAAGCATATGTCTAGTTCAGCATTCTGTTCACATTAGCTGCCCACAAGAAATTCACGATCAGGACACATCCTTCCACCAATGTTCTCCAGCACCTGTACAAAGGCCTAGTGCCTCTGATACTGCAGGTAACATAGCCATCAGGACTATTAGCCATTATCCATCATGAATTTGTCAAATGCCACTTTAAAACAATCTGAATTGGTGGCTTCTCCTGTAAGTACTCCCCATGGAATAAGCAAACCAGTTTCTAATATTTTCGTTTAAGTTAATGATTATTTCCTGGAAATATTGAGAGGTGTTCAGAGTACACTTGGTCTTTTCATATCCCAGCCAAAGGTCCAGTTTGATATGGCTTTGTACTTCCCCCACCCTAAAATACAATAAAATTTCTGCTCTCTGGATTATTTGACCAAAACAAACACACACAGCCCACAATGCCTGCATTGGAAATTAGAGGAAATGAGGTTGAAATGGGCCCTCAGCTAGTTTTGGATAGGTCTATGAAAGCCAGTAGTCTGAAGTATTATAAATGCACAATGCTTATAAATATCTACAAAAATAGGAAAGTGAATAATACCTTCTTCATAATACCAAAAGGAAGAACAAGATGGGGACATCAAAAAGGTTTTGAGACATCGTTGTTTGTCTTTTTCTTTCACTACCCTACTTCTGGAGAGCATGAAGTGTTAAAGACCGGGATGCCCTTTGCACTTACATGCCAGCAGGAGGCACATGCAAAAGAACATCCATTTCACAGAGCAAGTCAATTAATTTCTCCAACTCTTCTCTAAATAAATTCTCTAAAATTCATTTATTCACCAATAGGGAGCTCACACCCAAATCAATTCTCCCCAGGCCACTCATTTCCCCTCTACATTTTTGGCTTCCCAGCCCACTATACACCTAGTGCTCACTCCGCTCCTCCACAGCTCCCAATTACTTATTTATTCACTATATCCCACTTTTTTCTGCAAGGAACCCATGGTAGCTTACATAATCCTTTTGTCGTGTATGCAGCCCCGACAGAGACAGTGACTCATGAGGTCTTGTGCTTGGCACCCTGTGCCCAAAAGCCGACCCCACAACCAAGTCTAGGGGCAGATGAGCAAGCAGCTGCACTTCCCTCTCCCGGCCCATTGAGCAAATGCCTGAGCCCTCATCGAAGCCGGAGAGCCCCGAGCCCCGAGAAAGAGAAGACTACAAGTTCTACTCAGAAGGAGGCAGAACGAACTGCTCCTTCCCCTCTGACGCTAATCTCCCTGAGGATGAAACAGAAGACTCAGTGGGCGTGGTGGATTTCTCTCAAGCATCCAATCGCCGAATTTTACTACGAAGATATGAACAGCGACAATCTTTGTTATGTAAGAGGGAAGAAAGGCGTGACTTAGAGGAGTAGACCCACATGGGCTGGGCTCGGGGAGAGAAGCCATTAGAGGGTTAACATCTGCATATCAAGGACCTCAATTGAAGGGCTTATCTATAGAGTTGTAAATCTTGTAGATAATTTGCATTAAAGGACTTTAGTTTTATTGCTTGTGATAGTGTGGATGCCGGGCTGCCCGCCCACGACACCTTCCATGTTACCCTTTACAACAAGCCTGTGAGATACCTTAGGTGAAGAGTATGTGATTTGCCCTAAGTCACCCAGTGAGTATCACAGCAGTCACAGTGCTGACTAGAACCCAGGCCCAGTCCTGGGTTCCTGGTCCAACACTCCAACCACTACACCACATTGGCCACTTGCCAAGTCCTTGAAGGAAATACTTCTTAATAGGAAAAGAAAGAAAATCTTTAATAGAATGTGGGATCCTGTCCCAGAGGCACTCTGGGAAAACAGCTATCCATTTCAGCCAAACAAGCAAATGCCTGTTTACTAAACCCAAATTCTGGTTTCTGGGTCAATCCACCAGCTGTTTACTTGTTCCAATGAATAGATAACCACACTTTTCTGCAACATAGAAGTTAGTAACTGCTTCAATCAAGGGTACTTTAAAAAGTGTCCAAGGTGTATTCATGTCATAACAAGCCATGGTTCAGCATTACACCTGAATGGTCTCAGTGTTTAAAAGAACCATAGGGTCAGGTAATTAGCAGTCTGTGAAAGTAATTGCTTGTTGACAAGCTGTTAGGGCCTGACCTGTCATTTCAGCTTGCCATATTTTTCCACATCAGGGTAAAATTGGCTCCTGTGCCATAGCTCAACTTAATACACTACAATATCCTCATCTCATTATGCCCTCCTTGCTCTTTCTAAGCACCTCCAAGTTCTTCATTGCTTTTACATTTTACATGTAGAGAACAAATCTTTCTGCAGCCTATAGTAAAATTATTGCAAAATCCTCATATACGTAATCATTTACATCAACCAAAAGGGTGTTTTTTCCACAAGAGTGTATTTCCTGTGTCTTCCATTGTACCGTTCTGAAACGCGATCAGAAAATTTTATTTCAGGAAAATCAATTTTTGTTGTGTATCTAAAAGTGGAATTACCAGAGTTTCATCTTCACTGGCTTCCGATTCGTTTTCAGCCTAATCTGAAGTGCTAGCTTTGGCCTATACAGCCCCGCACTGCTTGGGACCTTATTATTCATTATTGAAAGAACGCTTCTGTAGCTACTTACGGCTTAAGTTCAGCATCAGAGGCCCTCCTCCAAGTCCCCCACAACCTGAAATGCAGCTGCAAGGGAGATAGCCTCTCCAGAGATGCCCAGTGCACAGATTCCTGTCTCCTGGGCAGGTAAAGGCTTTTCTGATCTTCTGGGCACTTTTAACACCCTCTCATTCTTAAATAGCATAATGTGTGACTAATATTATCTTTGTCCCTGCTTTTTCATGAAACTACTCTTGCTTCTAGCTATTACAAAATGGTTTTAGCTCTCTACATGGCCAAGAAAATTTAATTACAACTTGCATTTGATTGTATGGTCTGGACTGGTATAATTTTATTGTGGTAATTCAGTTTTATCATATGTTTTTTACAACCCGTTGTGAAACTTTTATGTACATCATCCACAGAACTATATTATCAAGGCAATCAACAAATATAAAAAGGGGGAAAGTTTTATTTTTGAAATGGAATGGTTAAAACACACTAACTTAGTTCACATGTAATGACTGAGTTAAATTACCCATGCTTGGGACGGTGCAGCAGTGGGCCCCCTGCTTTCCACTCATTTGCCCCTTCTGATTTTGTCACTGGGTTAAACCCTGGGCTGTTTGTCCCTCAGCAACCCAGTATTCCAGGTTCAAACACTGCTGCAAACAACCCAGAAGGAAAGTATTCATGTATAGTTTATGGAAAAGGTGCAAAGTGAATGCTGCAAAAAGGTGGGAGACTATGCACACAGATGCTCCAGTACAGCCCTGTAATTTGGTGAAACATGCAAACCTAGTCATACTTTAACACAGACAACCTAATAGTGAACTCATCACTATGTAAGTACAAATGAAATTATGTCTTAAGGAATAGTCATAAAACTGGAAGTGGGCTGAACTTCTTCCTGGTAAATTTCCTTGGCTTTCCTGGATTTCCCAGATCCTTTAGACAACTTCTTTCTTTTAGTTTTGTAAATAGGGGAGCTGAGGAAGTCAGTAATTGTAAATGGGTCACCACGCCTCAGTTTGCTGCAGAGGAAGAGAGAAAAAGAAGGAATGTAATGTAGTTTGTTGCATGTACAATGTTAACTTTATATTCCAGAGAACAGCATGCCCAGTAAGTGATCACAGGTTTCCAGATGTACATACCTGACTTGGGGACAAAGGCTGCCCATGAATTTCTTTTGCTTGTCTCTCCTGTGAAAAGGGTGCTTGGCACAGAACAAAAAACTAACCTGTTGATCTTGGGCTCTGCATAGGAAACTTGTTTTTTCCTCCGCCTAGTTGGATGTATTGGAGAGCCTTCCAGAATGATGGAATGGCATGAATCAGGGCTGGCATTGGTCAAATCTTTCAGTACTTTATTTTCTGTGAATAGAATTAAGTAATTGGTTGATTCTTGTGGTACACCAAAACTCTAATTTAAACCTATTCCTTAACTAAAACATCAGTTTTCCTGAAATATCAGTTTCAGATTGAAATACTAACTAGTCCATCTGACCCATTAGATTGGGTGTTTTTAGCTATTCAGGGCACAATCCAATAGGGATGCCCTCAAGCCTCTATACTTGAAGATTACAAGCATCTTATCAGAGGTGATGTTTGTCTCCCTGCTTTTCTTGTTCTGCAGTTCAACTAGACAGACAATTTTGGCTGTCCACTGGATTGCTCCTTTCCCCTTTCTCCAACATTGCTTTTACAGCCTTGAAAAAGCATCCAGCAGTTTTTCCACAGCAGCTGCAAAGGGACAAGAGGAACTGGAGCTGTAGGAGGCTATAGGATGTCTCCATAAGTCTTTTATATTTCATAGCCCTGGACTTACCGAGATGTCTTAACCAAAGAGATACAACAGTATGTCAGCAGTCTTCAGGACAGGGGTCGGCAATTTGTGGATCTCCAGATAGTCTGGCCTAGAACTCGCATCAATCCTAGCCAGTCAAACCAAGATCATGAGGAGCTGACCCAAATTTATGTCATAAACATTAAAGATGTTTGCTTTGGGATATATTATCCAATATAGCCCAATATTAGGGAATATATTATTGTTCCAGTGGACTTGGTAGCCAGAAGCACTTTCTACCACCTTCTGCTGGTCTATCAGCTACATCCCTATTCGGATGAAGAAATCTAAGCTTTGGAGACCAGCTTCATCTACCAACAGGTGACAAGAATGCACTAGAGAGCTGAAAACACACAAGTGGAGAAATTTATGTGGCTCACTCCAGTTCTCACATTAGTCTACATTATCAGTATCTCCTTTCTTCACTCACCATTTTCTTGTGCAAATGTGTCAGAAGTTGCTCGTTCTGTCTTTCGCCTTTGTCTGCAGGAAGCCAACTGTTCTGCCTCATTTTTCTTCAAGGTTGTTAAGCTTTTTGGCAAGTGGCATCTTTCTGAACTACCCTGGTCTTTAGAAGCAGGAAACACAGAACATGAACTACCAGAGCTCCAACAACTGGATACAACCACCTCAGAGCGGTAAACCGAAGAAGAATCTGAAGTGCTGGGACATTTGGTGAAGGAATCAAACACTGTTGGAGCCTCAGTAAGACCCATAATAGGAGAATCTTGCTGAGTTCTGGAACTTGGAACCCGGAGAAAATTTGATCCTGCCTTATCTGCTTCACTGGTTTCACATTCTTCTGGACCTTGAGCATCATCATCAGAAGATGCACACTCTTCTGTCACATACTTTACAGTGTATGCTTTCTTCTTTAACTTAGTCATAGTTTTTTTCTTTATGTCAATTGCATGGCTGTCAACACCTCTATCTGTCCTCTCTGAAGGGCTGCTATTTGTTTTGTTCAAAGTACAGCTGTCTGGAGTGACTGAAGACTGCTGAACTTTTGGAATCACCTTGGCAGAGTTCTTATGGACACTGTGAAGACCAGAATCCTCAATTTCCAGTAAAACTGGAAATACAGGTGGGGTGCTCCCTACAGATGCCAGAGAGGTTGTGCTTCTTTGGCTCATTAATTTAAGACTGATTCTTGAAGTTTTATCTTTCTTTTTATTGACTCTTCGATTAACATCTTCACTCAAATAAAAAACATTCACATCTGTTCTGCAGTACTCTTTCTGTGAATTTTCCCTGTCTAATTGGGCTGCTTTTTTACTGGGACCTTTTTGGGTTTTACTTTCTTGTGGCTGAGTGTGAGACTGCCTGTTAACATCTAGACTTTGTACATCTATCTCACCAAGACTATGTGATACAACAATTTCTTGGGTCTTTCTCTTTGGCTTTTTACGCTTCACATTCAGACCCAGAGTTGCTTCTTGGCTAGGGATCTGTGTTTGGGAACTCATGAAATGCTGTGTGTTGAAAGTATGCTGTGAGTTTTGACTGTTGAATGAGCTAGACTCTGGGTTCTGGAACCAACTTTCTAGGTCCTCGAAGTTTTCCGTAAGTGTGCTTTTCCTAATTTCATGTGCAAAGGAAGTGCAAACATTTTCATCATCTGGAAGACCAAGATCTACCGCATATCTTCTTCTGCAAGCTGTGGCTTTTTTAGGATCCTGGGAAGTATGTGTGACAACACAGCCATGACTGTCCTCACCTTGTTTATTGTGCAATGAATTGGTCTCTGGGCTTTGGAACTGACCTTCTAAATTCTTCATTTTTTCCAAGAATATCTTTTTCTTTATTGTTTGAGTGAAAGAGTTACAACTATTGACATGGTCTGGGAGAGCTGGGTCTGCCAAAGAAGACCTTCTAGTTTTGTCAGAGTGCTGGGAATTATGCTTCTCCTTTGAACCATGGCTGTCCAATGGCACTATCTCCTCCAGAGAATCCACTCGACTAGAATCTTCAGCAGGGTATGCAGGCTTGAGCATGTTTCCCTTGCTGTTGTGCAATTTGCTGGTTTCAGATAGTTCTGCAGGATCCACTTGTCCATTACTATGACTGTCCACATTTCCTCTTGACTGGCTGATAGAAACATCTCTGTCTACTGTTCCAGTACTCACTTTTCTTAAAGCTTTAGTCTTATTGGCTTTGTACTTCTCATAGCTTTTATTTTTAGTGCTCAGTGTAACAAGCTCACCAACCTGACTGATGTCAAGAGGCTTATTCACAGCAGCCTCAGTTTTCTTTGTCCACTGCAGGCCATCAACTGACAAATTATCAGATGGTCTCATGGAAGAATCAGCTCCAAATGCAGCAGATAAGCCTCTTTTGCCCTTCTTTCTCTTAGTCACATATGCACATGATAAAACCACACTGTCGCTGCATGGTCTCCTAATCTCCTCACACTGCTTCACTGGAGAATTCTTATGCAGGGCAGACAGCGAGCTCATAGAACTTGGCAGTGCATTCAAAAGGTTCTCTGCAATGACACATCAACTAGCTTAGTAGATAAATGCAAGTAGAGACATCAAACCATCTTCAATTTCATAAGCAGTTGGTTATATTTGTAAGTGCTTGTCTGGTAAGAACATAAGACCCCTATGCGATCTAATGAATGATGCATCTAATCCAGCATTCTGTCTCCAGTACAAATGGGCCAGGTATCTGTGGTCAAAATGAAGAAATTACCAGTGATGATACCTAACATCAATACACAAATGGACAACTCAATGCATACTTTACACAGAAGCACGTTCCACCAAACTGAACGTGGAACTACGGCCTATTCAGTGGGTACAGCCTTGGGTGCACTATCCCTAGAATACAGTTCCCCAATTACATGCATCTCCAATTAACATAGAGGCTGTAGTCTAAGTTAATTCTAGGAGGCTCTATTTACCTCCAACATTTGTGCTCAAGTTGAGTGCTAAGGCAGTGCCATCTGCTTCATTTAACTTTTGACCATGGTTTACATTGTCATCGATGAGACAAGAAGAAGAGGAGGACTTTTCAGCAGCAGAGTGAAGCGTGTTCTTCCAAGAGTCAGCAAAAGTGGATGCTGGTGTACCTGAGGAAAACCTTGGCAAACTTGTGGAGTTGCCCATTCCGATGTCTCTGCCATTTTCATTTTTTTCATCATCTACATGAGACAGTGGAACTCTCAGAGATTTCAGTGGGGCTCTGAATTAGGCAAAGTTAAAAAGAAAAGGGGCAGAACATTTATTTTTAAGAGTTTCAATTTGATTGACTACTAAAGAAATAAAGAGGTAAATCTCTAGTTCAGTAAGTGCCGGGTTATATAGGAATTATACTTTCTATGTAATCTGATTCAATATTCTTGGTTTTAAAGCTTCAGTGTTGTATTTTATTATGTAGTTGTATTTTATGGGGTTTTTTTTTATGAGCCATCCAGAGACATTTGGCTATCTGGCTGCAGTAGCAGAAAAATAATATATAAATTAATCACAATAATGAACTGGAGCAATATACACAGGATGTCATAACCTGCTCTTTCCCCTAAACCAGTGGTGGCAAACCTATGGCCCACGTGCCACAGCGGGCACGCAGAGACCTGTCAGCACACGAGCCAAGTCACCCCAGCATCGCCCCAGCAGCTGAGCATTGGATAACAGCGCACATAGGGGCCATGCACATGCTCGGAAAGGAGTAGCGGCGCCAGGTGATGATGTCACGTGCTGTGGCTCATTAGCTGTGACTCATCCGAGCTTTCACATGGCCAGTCAGTATGCTGCCAAGGATTTGCTTGGACTGGCTGTAGTTATTTTTTCTAAACTAAAACCTCAGTTTTCAGGTTTTATTGTAGTGTTGGCACGTTGCGATAAATAAGTGGGTTTTGTGTTGCAGTTTGGGCACTTGGTCTTTAAAAGGTTCGCCATCACTGCCCTAAACCTTCCAAACAGATCAGGACAAACGGCTTTTAACTGAAGTCTTTAATATGGTAGAACAAAAGAAGAGCATTACTGTAGCCATTAACAAAATACCACTAATGTTAGAATATTAACCATCAGGAAAATATAGCTTAATGATAAGTTGCTTCCAAACTGAATAACTCTCCTCCCTTCCCAACAAAAACAAGTTGGATCTGCCCTCAGACTGGTACATGCTGCTTGCAGGTCAAACAAGGAAAATGCCTGATGTTGCTCAGGTGGGCTAGTCTGTTTGATCTGATTCTGCATAATGTTAAGTAATGCCTATCCCCATCTAGCTCCTCCTGTTCAACAGTGTTTCCCACAAAACCAGATGTGATCTGGTCCTTTACTAGACTCTCAGTTTATCTCTGGGCCCACTAACCTTGGAATTTCAGCACAGAAATGAATTTTGGTTCAGACTTTGAGGCAACAACATTGGAAGAGTGTATTTGCACAGAAATGAGCCTAGTCAGAGTGGTGTGGCATGTTGGTTAGAGTGCTAGATTAGGGACCCACCCATAAGATTCAGTTTCTAGTCCTCATTTGGCCATGAAGCTCATCAGCTGACTTTGGGCCAGCCACAGACTCTCAACCAACCAACCTCACAGTAGTACTATGTAAGCCTCCTTGGATTCCTCACAAGAAAAAATGTGGTATAGAAATACAATGCAATAATATTAATTAAAAATAGTCCCTACTCTGGAAGCTACATGTCCCATGCACCCCAGCAGGAAAGGAAGCATCCTCAGGGAGTGTACTGGCTTAAAGGATAAAGCCTAAAACATCCTTTCCATCTCCACCCGGTCTTCCCCACTATTTGTTCTCCATTGTCCTATTGAAAGAATATATTTGCTTAGGAGAAGAAGCAAGCAGAGCTGACAGCAGCAAAACCACTATGATCAGCCAGTTTCATATGTTAAGGGAAGTTGGCTCTGTTGATAATGGTCTTGGGAATGCCTGCAATTCTAAAATTCACTGCCACCACTATCCAGAAGGCTGAGTCCCCAACTGACAGTGCAAAGCTAAAATAATTTTATCTTTCTATCTTTTAATGCCCCAGATCCTCTTCCCGTGTTGACCAACATATTATAGCTCTAGTTTACACTTCTTTTTGCCAGACTGGGCTAATGAAACTGGAAAAGTGGGACCCTCCGTTCAATGGGACCCCCTCTCATGACTATCATGCATTCAAGCTTAAGTGCTCTTGTTTCTGTGCATACCGAAAAGGGTGGCTGTCACCATCCTGATTACTGGCAAAATTATCCAGACCACTTTGTTTCCCTTCATTCAATAAGAAAGAGCAGGAAATGTTCTAGAGGGGGAAAGTAATATGGAAGAAATTGATAAGTTATTTTAACACTCTGGCTTTAAAAATTGTGTTAACACATTTTAAACTTTGTCTTGTAAATTACCCAGGGAGCTTGAACTAATGGGTAACATAGAAATGTAATTAATAAATAAAATCTACTTCACAAATAATGTTTCAGTTCATTCCTTACAACTCAGTCTAAAATTCTGAGGTAGAGCTCTTTGACTAGCATGACATGGCAACCCATTGTGGATAACCCGCCATGGTGAGTTGCTGTGTAATCCCAAATGAAACCACTCAGAAGAAACAATCCATTCTGACAACCTACAGCTTGTTCTAGGAGTCAGTCATCTCACAATAGCTTGTCAAGCCACCCAGACCTGAGAAACAGATTTCACAATGGGTTGAGAGCAGTGAAATCAGTGACAGTCCCTACACTAATGCCAGAGTGAAACATCAGATTGACTGGCAATGATTAACCACCTTTTCTTTTCCAGCCCCAAAAAACTTGCATAAATGCCTTCCTAATTTTGTGTTAGTAGAGAGGGTTGTCTTTTGGAGGTTCACAAGCATGCACCCGGGGTTGTTGGATTTAGTCTGCCTGTTCAATGTTTGTGTAAATTTCAGTTGTCAAAAGGAGCAACATCTAGGGAAATTGCTGAGATGAGAATATTCGTAGGCACATTTGCCTGCAGCTGCAAAACTGTTCACTGAAAATTACTAGTAAAATGAGAAAAAAGTAGGAGTGCTACTTTTTTTTTTAGGAGTAGGAGAAAAGGGGTGGTGACAAGTTCTTAGCAATGTAAATGGGAAAATATTACACCTGCCCCTGTCTGCAGCTCCTTTCTGAAACACCTACTGCTCTAGTTCCTGCAGTTACCTAATCTGAAAAAGGCCTGAATGAACAGAATGGAGGGAGTGAGGTCACATGGGGATGTGCTACTCATGCACAATTAGCTCTGTCCTAATCTGCCACTTCTAAGAATTCTTTTAAGAGTCTGTCAAATCTGTGGACTTTTTTCCACTGGGAAATATGTATATATTACTACAGGGCTGGGGAATTAATGGAGAGAAAAATATAATGCAAGTTTCCCTTTCAGTCATGTATTCTCTATGTATTTTCCTTCCATTTACTTCCCAGTCATAGAATTTGCATATATTTCCCAGTGTAAAAAGAAATGCATAATTCAGACTGACAATTAAAAAAAAGGCTTTGAGAAGTAGCAGGATAGAATGGCCCTATTCACTGCATCCCATTCAGCTGCAGCCTCAGCTGCATTATTTTGGAACTGTCAGGGACCCACAGTAACAGCACCAGAAAATACTCTAGAAAGGCAGGGCAAGTTAATATCTCCACTTTTAGTGTAGCTTTTCAAGAGATTAAAATGACAGTTTTCTCACCTCAGAAAGCCTGCTCAGCTTGATTGCGTTTTGCAAGTGGCTGTTCATAAACTGCTGTAGTTCATCAATATATCTGCTCTGCACCCAAAGAAAGAGGCTAACTTTTCAAAACTATCCAGAATTTCAGCTATGTATTTTAAAAACTGCCAAATATTAATTTGAAAATGAAGCCACAATAAAAACAGATTTTTACAACATTTCAAAGTTGTAATGCATTCAATATTTCCATTTTTTTCTTTTTAACATTTTACATTCTATCCTAATCCATAAACACTAGTTCAAACAACTTGCTTTCAGATTAGTCAATCTTTAGATGCCACACAGCAAATTTTTCATTTATTTGTTGTTTTGAAATTATTTTTGTTACAGTAACATTTGGTGAAATTCTCATACAAGTATTAGAAAATGTATCTAGTTTTACTTCTGCCATTTCCAGCAGGGTTGACAACTCTGTTATTCTGCACATGAAAGTAGCAGTAGACACAAAATATTCATATAAATAAATATATCCTTATTCTATGTTATCTCAGGTAGAACCATAGATCTCTAGCTCATAAATACTATATACTTTAAATGCTCTAAAATTTAAAATTACAGTAAGATTAAGTGTAAACATGCAAGAAAGGAATTTTAAAATAGGCAGCTTTACACTATTCTAGAGAAACAGAGACTAATGGGGGTTTTTTCCTCCAGAAACATATACATATATAAATGATCTCAAAATTCCTCACTGCTTTTAGGGAGCACACCTAACACACTGGTAAGATGAACACCACCACATGCCCATCCTGCCTCACAAAGTAACATGTCAAAAATAAGCAAAATCCCTCTTTTATATTCTGTATATTCTAAGTGAGACTGAACAAAAACCCCCCCAGCTGCTACAAAGATGTAGAATGTGGATAGCAATACCATACCACTGAGGAGAGCTTTTGACGTAGGCAAGCATTTTCAAAGTGACACAGCTCAACTTCTTTTTGCAGTAGCATCTTGTCATCAGTAAGCCTCTGAGCAGCTATTTTTGCAGCGTTGAGGGCCATAGCCAATGCTTTGTTGTTCTGCTTCAGGGAGACCTTAATTATAGAGGAATTATCTATATTTTTTTAAAAGGGGGAAGATAACATTGGATAACATTGAATAAAATAACATTTTATTCACCCTAGAAGAAACTTTTTATTTGTAATCTCTTCCTCAAGTTTTATGCTATCAAACAAAAACCGTAACACTAGAGCACACAGCTAGAGTTCTGATTAGTAATTCCAGTCAGCATGTGGAAGTCAAGCAATTCCACTCCCCAAGCAGCCTATTTCTTTGGGCTTCCTAACATCCTCCTCCAATTATTCTTGTGCACCGAAACCTATTATACCAGCATTCCTCAGATGCAAACAGCTTAGAACAACTGCTTTCCCTGGGATGAATACAAGGACTTTTGGTGGTAGATCTTGATCTAGAATGGTCTCCTAAGGGACACACAATCTGGCACCACTGCAGGCACCACCCAAGACTTTCCTCAGGCTTTTAAAGTTGTTAGGGATGCAGTCCTATTCACTGTGCCTTCAACACTGATAAGTCCCTGAACTCAGAGTGTCCAGTTCACGGTTCAAGAAGCAGCAGAGGTGATCTCCACCTCACAACAGCTCCCACTCTGCAGTTCAGCTGGAACAGTCCATTTCAGCTGTCTGCATAGAGGCACTCCAGAGGGACAAGAAGGATGCTGGCACACTGTCAGGAGAGCTCCTATTCTGGCAGCCCAAGTCTTCTCTTTTCAGCCCTTGAAGTTTCACTGAGGCTGACTTTCAGAGAGGCAGATGGTGCAGTTCTTTCCAGGTCAGCTGCAGAGTGGGGAATCTGCAGAGCACAGATTCCCTGCTCGTTGGAGTGCGATCTCCAGTCTTGGATCTGGGAATCCAGAGTATCCTATGCTCCCCCAGTCATCATCATAGGTTCACTCTCTAAAAGTATTTTAAAGTCTTTTTAAACATGTTAGTCTGTTTGCGCAATATGGTTTCAGCTTTTATAGTTTATACTGTATTTTTATGCTCTGTTCGCACTTTTATTTTTCTAATGATTTTATTATGTTTTTATTTATAAAACACCTACAGAAATTTTATGAGATGTCTAATATAAATAAATATACAATAGACTTTTCCTTCAGCTCCACTGTACAAATTTTTCATGTGAAACCCTTATATCAGACTTACAAGTCAGTTCCCCAAAACCAGGCCCTCTCAGAAAGACTGCGAGACACTAACCTATTGCACTGCACTTGCCAGCTTGAAAGAAGGCCAACCCTTTCAGTTTACAGAAGTTCCAGCAGCTAGTTAATGGGAGGTTACTTGCAAGGAACCGCTCCTTAGAGCGTGCTTTGTTTTGCCTTACCACCTAACAGTGTGTAGTCACTTCAGAGACGAGCATGTGGCAAGTCAGCCACATACTCTAGGTTGGAATAAGCCAGATGTGTGGATCAATCATTGCAGATGAACATCACTGCAAGCCAAATGCAAGCCTGCACTTGCCAGGGTTTACACGCAAGAGCCCACTGCAAGGTAAGGGGCTCCACTCCAACCTAGATGATCATTCCCAGAAGATTTGGTGTGGGGAGAGGGGGTTCCCACAGAGCTCTCATGGGGTTCAATTTGAACTTCCATGCTATTTTATATGTTCCTGAAAGGTAAGATAATCTGCGAGATCCCATTGGTCTGGTCTGCCCAGCATAACCTAGTATGATATCCAGCATCTCTCAAGGTGACATTCTTCCCAGTCTGGCTATGACCCAAAGTTTTAACTGCAGCCACTGGGAATCTAGGGTAGATCTGTATGCAAAACAAATCACATGCTCTGTCACAGAGCTTTAACCCACTGACTTATATTACGAACCACATTCTTATTGGTCTCTGCTGGACCATCAGGATTACTGATCCCTAATGGAGGAGGCTGTGTCTGCTTTCAACCCCTATGTGGCAGGGTTGGATTCAACAGATACAGTGTCAGCCACTCTAACCCTGCTGCTGTTAAACCCATAAACCTGTTTCTTGGAACAGAAAAAAAATAAAAGAAAGGGGTAGAAACTGTCATGTTTCAACAGCTCAGCTAAGGGCTTATAAATAACTTCCTCCACCTTTTGTGGTCAAGCCTTCCCCAGTCCTGCTCTTGAGGGCATCCTCTTCACTCTTCCTCTGCTTCCATATGCTAGGAAACATGCAGTTTCACCCCAAGCAGGTATTGCTTATATTGGAATCACATACTTTCACACTGTATTATTCTATCTGTATTTTTGTACAGCAATATAGGTAAAACCCAGAAAATTTTGCCTTGGCTATATCCTATAAACCAGGGATGAGCAGAATGGTAGATTCTGCAGCAGCAGGCAAGGAAGAAAGTGGGTTGCTGGGAATGGTGACTTGCATGCCCACTTGCAACACCCCTCTTCCACACCTGCTACCACCCCAGATGGGGAAGGAAGGTGGCCAGTTCTGCAACCAGGAGGCTCCAAGCATTTACAGACTTGGCTCAACTCACTTTGCAGGATCAGGCTGAGCACAAGAAGAAGTCTACAAATGTGAGAGGGAAGGATTCCAAAAGGATTAATCCTAACTCTAATCCCGGTCAGCAGCAGTGAGAATTGAAGTCCAAAATATCTGGAAATCTACCTGCTATTCACTCCTGTTCCACAGAAGTTTGAGAGCAAAATGCCAGCAAATAATTTAAAAACATCATTACTTACTTATTGTTTTTGTTCTGATCTTTGATGCAAGAGATGCATTCAACTTTGCTGTCTTTAAGACACCATTTTTCTTTTCTTTCATTCGTTCCCTGGCTTCATTCACAGAAAATAAGGTGGATGTTTCTGCAAGTTCCCGGAGTGACATTTTTGGACAGTACTTTTTTCTTTTTCAAAGAAAGAATCACAGGCATCAAGACAGTTTCTTCTCATCCTAGTCTACTGTTGTCATCATAATTTATACAGCTCTGCTTTAGTTTCAAAGCTACTTTGCAGTCTTTAGTATGTTTTCTTCTCAGAAGCCAAAATCCCTAATGCAACTACAAATCCCAGCTTCAAACATTGGCTTGCTAGAGATGAGCCAGGAGTTCAGGTTTAGATGCAACACAAAGTTCACAAAGCCACCATTCCATCAATGAGGTTAACAAGAATACCTCTCATGCGCTGGGGGGGGGGGCAGGGGCTGCCAACCATGGCCCCATCAGTTATGTACTTGGCAACCATGAGAAGGAGCCCTACATTATGTACCAAAAATACACAAGAGACTTCCTCCATTAAAGGAGAAATCTTGGATTAGGATTCAATGGCCCACTGGATGCATATATGGGCCATTCATGCAGCCACTGAATACATGGCCAGCATGCATTGGCAGCAGGACTAACCCATCTCATTCTCATATTTTGAGTCTGTACATGACAAAATCATATTTGTAATATTCCACATGAACAAGGTTGCTTCCAATTAGAAAACAAGCATATTAGTGAAGGAGTTGGACTTGAAGCTATTTCCAAAGTACACCAGATTTTTCTGCGGAGAATTAACATGCTGGTGTGTGGGAAATCAATTCAAAGCCAAAGGGGCAGTCTGCTTCCCCACACCAGGTCTCTTCCATCACATTCTACTGTACTTCATGGACCAAGCTGAAGTACAGAGAAATCAAGTTATATATTCTTGCATTTGTGCACTGTTTCGACAAAGAATACTTATGCAACCCATTTTTATGCATGTTTCCTGGTAAGCAAGTCCCCGTTAATCATATATCCTCACTAAAAAGCATACTGAGCTTTCATACAGAAGAACATAGAGGCTAGAGGATCATATTAATATCCAGAAAATCCAAATGGAGGCACGAGTTGCGTCCGCAGAATTGGAGCCAGTCGCGATCATTCAGTTTAACCTACCTCACAGGGCTGTTGCGAGGATGGAGGCGGGGGGACGGGGGATGGGAAGAGCCATGGACATTGCCTTGCTTTCTCAGAAGAAAGGGGAGCTATAATGTTAACACAAATATGAACAGCAACGCACCGATGTACTGGACTTCGGGATAGAAACGCTCCCCCTATTCTCTGCTATTTAACCGACACGACGTCGCATCTTTAAAACATGCAATGCGTGAGACGGATGGGGAAACCGGCGTAAGACTTGGGGAAGCGTCGGGGAGGAAGAGCCTCCCTCCCAGGATCATCATCCTGACACTAAAGATGAAAAGAAGCTCTTAAGACTCACCGACTTTCATCCAAACTCCCCTCAGCAAGGCTTGCACCTCAGTCCCACTACATTTGCCCCACAGATTTTCAAACGGACGGGACTTCCTGCTTAGCAGAATTGTGGGAAATGTAGTCTAAAGTTTATTTTGAAACCGGAACAAGAGATTTTTGCGTGGGGAGAGAGGGGCAACCGGACACGTGATGCTCCGATGAGTGTCTTCCTCCCGCGGCCGCGACGTCCCACACAGGCAGCACCGGCCGGAGCCTTCTGTCTGTGCTGCAGCGCGCCGCGTTTGAAAAGCGGCACGTGATGCGGCTCAGACCTCCTTTCCGCGGGAACCTCGGCCCCGCGCGCCAGCTTTTACGCCTAGGCAGCATTTGCAAAACACGATAATGATTAAAAAAAAAAAAAAAGTTCACTTAGGCTCTTGGAGCTGCACAGATCCCGGAATTTGTAGCTAAGGTCCAGGAGTTATTGCCTCTTTACGGTTCCTCGTAGATCTTGAACAGCGGCGTGGCAAGCGGATAGGACATTCACTGGGTTCTGCCTTCCTCCGTTTTTGCCTATTGTTTGTCGCAATGGTGTTAGGCTGATAGTAAAATACAGGACCTGCCCTAAACTGGACTTTAATAAGCCTATCCTGTGGGAGAGCTCTGAGAAAGTGGGGACGTGGGTAAAAGCATAATATTGCCATGCAGTATCTCAAAGATGGGCCTTCTTAGTCATGGCACCCAGTTTGGAAGGTAGGAAATGTAGTTTCAAATGCCCTTTGAAAAGACATTAGTTCATCCAAGCTTTCTCTAGCTTAGGGAACTACTTAGGTTGCAAT